CCGAAGGGGGCGAAGGCCTGGCGGATGGTGTCCTCCCCCAGCTCGTAGTAGATGGAGCCCACGTAGACCCGGCACATGATGGCGAGCGCCCGCTGCCTCTGAGCCGCCATCTGTAGCGAGACAAGGACTGCCCGGTCAGGGCCGGGGGGCACGCGGACACCGCGACCTCCTCCCCTCCTCTGCCCTCCCAGGACCACCCCGGCACAGCTCCGGCCGGGCCGCAGCTCGGCCACACGAGGATCAGAAGGATTTCCCTGCTCGCTGCACAGGGCGCTGGAGCGGATCCGCCCGGCTCGGTCCCGGGGCAGCACTGGAGCAATCCAGCTCCATCCTGGGGCAGCACTGGAGCAATCCAGCTCCGTCCTGGGGCAGCACTGGAGCAATCCAGCTCCGTCCCAGGGTAGCAGTGGATCAATCCAGCTCCATCCTGGGGCAGCACTGGAGCAATCCAGCTCCATCCTGGGGCAGCACTGGAGCAATCCAGCTCCGTCCTGGGGCAGCACTGGATCAATCCAGCTCCGTTCCAGGGCAGCACTGGAGCAATCCAGCTCAGTCCGAGGGCAGGAGTGGATCAAGTCCAGCTCAGTGCCAGGGCAGGAGTGGATAAAGCCCAGCTCAGTGCCAGGGCAGGAGTGGATAAAGCCCAGCTCACTCCCAGAATAAAAGCCCAGCTCAGTCCCAGGGCAGGAGCGGATAAAGCCCGGCTCACACACGTCTGCGGCCCCACTGGTCGGGCCTCCCCCCCCAGCCTGATCACATCTCCAGCCACGCCTGCAGGAGGAGGGAATCACTTCAGTTGCCCTTCCAGGCAGCAAAGGGCTCAGCTCTGGGAGAACCCCTCCCACTCCTCCCCCTCCCCCCAAGAGGGACAGCAAGAGATCCAGAGTCACTCCCGCCCCCCGCCCGCCCAGGCAGAGAAGGGTCTGGGATTGGGAACCTCCTCCCCGCTCCCTCCGGCACCACGGCACCCCCCACCCCAGCACTCTGAGATCCAGCACTGGGCAACCACTTCCACGGCTCAACAGCAAAGCAAAACCCTCCAGTGGCTCAGTGGGGCTCCTGGGAAGGGTGTGGTGCCAGTTCTCAGCCCTGCCTGGCAGCGCTGGCTGCACTGGGCAGCCCCAACACCGGGGTGCTGCTCTGAGGGTCTCTGTGCTACTGGCTCCTAAATCTGCCAGAAACATCCAGCCAGCCCTTACAGCAGGGATCCCAAAAGCAGAGCACAGCGTGTCCCTCGGGGCTGGCACCCCCAGGCCAGCTCTAGAGCAGCTGCTGCCCTGGGGACACGCCCAGTTCTGGGAATGGGGCTGGATCAGTGACTGCCTCTGGGTGTGGGGATGGCTCCAGGACAGGGGGACACACCTGGGCAGGGAGGGGCTGGAGCAGAGCAGGTGAAGCAGGTGGTGAAGCCTCTGGCCCTGCCCAGCACCACAGACAGAGCTCAGAGCATCCCCTCCCATGAGCAGCACCCTGGGGGCAGGGGGGGCTGCAACCAGGGACTTCTCAAGGATGATTTCTGGGGTGCCCTAATAAGCACAGGAGCTCTGCCATATCTGGGGACCCCCAGGGTGGGGGGCCTTCAGGAGGACAATTTTTGGGATGCCTTAACGAGCACGGGAGCTCTGCCACGGCTGCAAACAGGGACTTCAGAGGATGATGATTTTTGGGATGCCTTAACAATCCCAGGAGCTCTGCTGGATCTGGGGAACCCTGGCTTGAAGGGTGTGCACTCGGCCTTCTCAAGAACGATTTTTGGGGTGCCCTGCCCTGTCTGAGGAGCCTGGAGGCAGAGGGGCTGCACTCAGGGCCTGCAGGAGGATGATTTGCTGCCATGCCTGGGGATGTTCAGCCCCAGGGGAGGGAGAGCTCCCCTAGGACAGTCACCCACAGGACACAGACTGTGCCTGAGGGATCCTGCTCCCTGTGGCACCCACAGGGCACTGGCACCGGCCTCAGGAGGAAACAAACTGGGGGGGTTCAGCTCCTGTCACTCCATACAGGACACTGCAAACAGGGATGGCCCTCACCCTGTGCTGCTGCCTCTGGGGGGACACTAAACCCATACTCCGCCCCTGAGGTGGCATTAAGGCCCAACTGCTCTTCCAGGGGTGACATTAACCCCTGAGGTGACATCCAGCTGCCCCTTGCCTGGGTTCAGGGTTTCCTGGCCCCACCTGGCCGGTCTCTCTTTACTCTGCACTCAGTGACCAGGAGGACCTATGGCATGTGGTGTGTCCCAGGTTCTCCAGCACATTCCCAGCTTTGGAGCAGGAAAATCCCCTCAGTGTGCCTGTTCAGGGAGTCAGAGCCATTCCCAGTCTCCTGCCAGGTGTCCCAGGGAGGGGCCTCTCCAAGGAGAAAACCCCCCCCCTTACCCTAAAGGGACCCTAAAGACCAGGTGGGGAAGCGAAGAGGACTTGGATTTTCAGACATCAGGAGGAATTTCTTCCCAGAAAGGGCTGTCAGGCATTGCAAGGGGCTGCCCAGGAGGTGGAGGAGTCCCCATGCCTGGAATGCCTGGATGTGGCACTCAGTGCTCTGGGCTAGGGACAAGGTAGGGATCAGGCACAGGGTGGACCCAATGATCTCAGAGGGCTTTTCCAAACTCAGTGATCCTGGGATTTTGGACCTACAACAGGCAGAGCTGGGGTGGCAGTGCCGACTCTGGGGTGTCATCAGCAGGAGCCTCGGGGGGGGGGGGGGTGATGCCCTGAGCTCAGCACAGCTCAGAGCCAAGGACTCCTGCCTGGAAACCTCCCTGCTCTCACCGCCCCACAAAGCTGGTTTCACTCTTTCTCAGTTTCCTAAAACCAGGGTTTAAGCCCCTGCAGCCTCAGCCAGACAGCAGCTCCCAGCTATAACTGTGTGAGGCTGCTCTTAAGGGATCTGGGAGGTTCTTTTAAGGACAGGCCAGACCACCACCTCGGGGTGCTCCTTTAACCAAAGCAGGTGATGCACAACCCCCACCCCGAGCACCAACTGTGACACGAGCCAGGGAACGGTGAAGGGAGTGGGAATCCCGTGCTGTGACACGTGGAGGGAGCACTGAGCCCACAGGAAGCCCCGAGACCCATGACAGGGAGCTCAGGCTGTGCTGCCTTCCCAGAGGAACTGGGGACACACCTGGGAACAGGAAAGTTCTAGACAGAGACTGTTTGCACTCTGTGCATTCCCAGTGGGCTCTGGGATGAAGCACCTCTCGAGGAAGGGGTATCCTAACTGCTCTGACCCGTACCAGGGTCCCATATCCCATTCCTGCTCCTGGGCTGTGTCCAGCAGCAGCCTCTGACTCCCTGAAGGAGGAATGTCTGAGGAAAAGGGGTCACAGTCTGTGCCCTGGAGACAATGAGCCATTAAACCTCTCCTGTGCCACCTCGGCTGTGCCCAGCTGGGAATGACAAGCCAAACCCCAAACTGCTGCAGTCCTGCTGTGGGCAGCAGCCCCACAGATGGGGGGATTCCTGGGCACGAGGGCTCAGACACCAGCTCTGCCAAATCCATGCAGCCCATTCCAAACTCACCCCCTGCCCAGAAGATCCCCTCTGGCTCCCCACTGCCACACCACCCGCTGCCAAGGGAGGGAGGGAGAGCAGGGATTTCCCTTCAGTGCCCTCCTCCTCTGGAGCACAAACCTCGGGCTGCATTTGACACCAGGCACAAATCCCATATTCCAGCAAGATGGGAAGGTATTTACAAACGAGTGCACAACTGAACCTCTTGTGTGCAGGGAGGAGTCACGGGGCACTTTGTCCTCTCGGAAAGAGGAGGGGACAGATCACCCCCAGGTCATTCAGCTCCTTGTGGCCTCCAGTTAGAACCGGCCCTAAGGACCACAGGGGTATCTCTGGGCATCCCTGGGGTTCTGCCACCTCCGTCCTGCCACTGCTGCGCTCGGAACGTGCCACGTTCCCCTAGTCTGGACCATGCACAGGAAGCAGAGTGTGGCACTTGGGCTACGCCCCGTTCTGCCCTCCCCGGCCCCGCGGCTGCCGGGCCCCGGCGCTGGGAGGTCGTTCCACAACAAGTCGCCCCTTTGTGCGTTACCTTGGCCGTTAGTTTTAGGTCGGGACCTCAGAACTGCGGCATCCCTAGAAATGCAGCTCCCACCATTGCACGGGTGTGTTCAGAACTGGTGGAAATCTAAAGCTGTCTGTGCCCCCGAGTGCCAGTGTCCCCGCAGACTGCACAGCCTGGGGTCTTCTCGGGGCAGGGACACCTCGCTCTGCTCCGGGGCGTGTCCGGCACGGGTGGGGAGGTGGGAGGGCTGTGCTGGGCGCGGACAAGAGCATTGGCACCACTACGAACGTCCCCACGCTAGGCCCTGACTAAGACAATGCCCCAGAAGAAGTGAATATGTCTATTGACCGATTGTAAAGGTGAGAGAGGATCTCCAAAGCCCATTGTCACTGCTGCCATCTGAAAGACAGTAAAGACAGAGTTCAGTCTGTTGGAGCTGAGCATTACTACGGCTGTTGTACAAACTCAAGCAGAGCGGCGGCGCAGGGGCACCTGCGGAGAGGCCTCTCCTTCCTCGGCCCTCACTGCCTGGTCCCCAGGACTGTCCGGCGCCGGGACCCTGCCGAGTCCGGTCCCACCAGGCCAGGGTGGGCTCGTGCTGCTGCCACTGTCTCGGGAAGCAGGGTGGGATCCCAGGGGGGACTCAAGGCAATAGAGACCTCTGCAACCACTGGCGTTGGTTCACCCCCAGCGTTTAAAGGAGCCCCTCAACTAGAGCAGACCCTCAGAACCAGGCACAGCCCCGAGCGGCCTCGGAGCACATCCACAGGGATTCCTCGGACACAGCTGTCAGTTTGGGCTTCCTGACTCGGAGTGAAGGCGGCCAGACGTGTTCCAGAAGCCTCTGAAGGAGGGGAGGTTAAACCCCAGGTAAGGGTTCTCCTGGCACAGGCATTCCAGCAGGAGCAGGAACAGCCAACGGAACTTCTCCAGGATTGAAAGCACCTGAGTGCAGGGGAGGGAAACAGGGCAGGATTGGGACGTGGAGGGGGGGGGGGACAGGGACCCTCCCTCAAGCGCAGGAGATGGTGACAGGACACTGTTCCCAGGATCCCCTCTGGCTTCACCACCTTAATAAGCGGAAAGTGAAACCCAGGGCAAAGCCTTTGGCTTCTTGTACCTCAAGAAGGGTCATCGACAGGGGAGGAATGAACAATTTCCTCCTGGCGTGAGCGAATCTGGGGGCAATTTGAGCAGGACGGGGGTGCCCTGGCGAGCTGCAGGCTCGGGGCTGTGCTCTGGTTCCGAGGGCCCTGCGGACTCCACGGTGTCGGGGGGAGCACGAGGCAGAGGGCGCGGCCCGGGGGGGGCCCTCACCTGGAGGTTGGTGAGCTGCTGCTGCTGGTGGGCGATGGTTTGCTTCACCAGCACGCTCTTGATGCTCTGCTCCATCGCGTACTTCTTGGCCTGCGGGGAGACACGGCGGCTGTGGGGGCCGGGAACGGCTCCTGCGTCCACTCCTCGGCTCCCGGAGCCCGCAGGGGCCCGGCCCCGAGCGCTGCCGGCAGCTCCACACCCGGGGCTGGGACGCGGCGGGAGCGCGGGGGAGCAGCATGCACCGGGACTCAGCATTCCCTCCTCCAGCCTCGCAGCCCGGCACAGGAGCTCGGCATTCCCTCCTCCAGCCTCGCAGCCCGGCACAGGAGCTCGGCATTCCCTCCTCCGCCCTCGCAGCCCAGCACAGCCCCTTACCTGGCGGGCCGAGGGCGGGCACGGCCTCCTCCAGTGCTCTCCTCCCACAGAACGTCTGCACAGAGAAGGGAAGGGCCTCCACCTCCCCACGGACACCCCTGCACTGGCATCTCCCCTCTCAGCACACCTGCACCGCTCTGGATCTGCTCCCTGAGCATCCCAGCTCTGCCCTCTGGATCTGCTCCCTGAGCATCCCAGCCCTGCCCTCTGGATGTGCTCCATGAGCATCCCAGCTCTGTCCTGCATCTGCTCCCTGAGCATCCCAGCTCTCCTCTCTGGATCTGCTCCCTGAGCATCCCAGCTCTCCCTTCTGGATCTGCTCCCTGAGCATCCCAGTCCTGCCCTCTGGATCTGCTCCCCGAGCACCCCAGCTCTCCTCTCTGGATCCGCTCCCTGAGCATCCCAGCCCTGCCCTCTGGATCTGCTCCCTGAGCATCCCAGTCCTGCTCTGGATCCCCTCCCTAAGCATCCCAGCCCTGCCCTCTGGATCTGCTCCCTGAGCATCCCAGCTCTCCCCTCTGGATCTGCTCCCTGAGCACCCCAGTCCTGCCCTCTGGATCTGCTCCCTGAGCATCCCAGCTCTTCTCTCTGGATCTGCTCCCTGAGCATCCCAGCTCTTCTCTCTGGATCTGCTCCCTGAGCACTCCAGCTCTCCCCTCTGGATCTGCTCCCTGAACTCCTCAGTTCCTCTTGGCTCCTCCTGCACAACGAGGCTCATTTGGGATTTCTTTCAGTCTCTCCCAGTCTGGCAGAGCCGGAGCTTCCAGCGGTGCTGGCACAGGGGCTTCGTGCCAGGGAACCCTCATCCCCACTCCTGTGCCTGTTCCAAGGCATCTATCCCACAGCTCCCGCATTCCCTGGAGGTGTTTCCCTTCCCCACTCCCAGGCCTGGCTCATCCCAGCAGGACAGTTGGCTGTGTGGGATGGCACCAACAACAGGAGATGGGAGCTGGATGTAACTGTGCTGATGGGAATGGGCTGGAATTCTGATGTTGGGGCTCTTTGCACATCCCAGGAAGAGCATAAGGAAATATAGATATTCTGGGATGTGCTCTGGAGCAGATCCCAATCCCAATCCTGGATGCTCCTCTGTGGCACTCCCACACTATCCCACAGCTGCCAGCTGATTTACACTTCTGATCTTATTTATTTCTCAAACTAAAACCACTCTCCCAACCCAACAGTGAATCCCCATCATGCTCCCAAAAATATCCACGAACTCCAGACTGGAACAAGTAATTCCTGGGCACAGATGTGACCGTGGGACCCCCAGGAGGGCCATGATCCCACTCAAATTCCTGTTCCCTTTGGCCCCACCGGTGGCAGAGGCTCTTTAAACCCAACACACAACTCCCCCAAACCAAACCCTCCCCAAACAAAGCCAAGCCCAAACAGCAAATTCCCCCCTGGATTTACTCACTTTCTGGAGAGCTTCCTGCTGCTCTGGGGTGAGGGGGGGCAGCCCCAGCTTCGCTGCCGTGCTCTGCCCGTTCTCCATCTTAATGGACTCCGTCCCCTGAGGAAACACAAAGTGCTCCTGGAAAACTGTCCTCGTGGAGTGACCTGTCCCTGCCT